GGTCAGGACTGTCAGGTGTCAGGGCTCATGGTCTCTGTGGGTTCTGGGGTCAGGACTGTCAGGTGTCAGGGCTCATGGTCTCCGTGGGCTCTGGGACAGGACTGTCAGGTGGGTGGCAGGGCTCCCGGCCTCCGTGGTAGAACCAGACGCCTTCACAGACACACACCCCTTCAGTCCTACCTTTTCTGCTTCTGTCGGTCTCTCTCCTTCTTTGAAGAGGAGGCCAGGTGCTGCCCCTTCTCTAGCTCTTCTCCAGCAGCCTTCAGCACCCTTCCCTGGACAGAGGTTGGCAGCCTGGCGATGAGGGGGGCCACCAGCCACACGCCCCTGCGCTCCGAGGAACTACAACCAGAGGCAGGTGTTACGCCGTGAGGCAGCCGAGTCTGACCTCACCCAAGGACGGAAGCGCCAACATCACAGTTTGATGTGCAGGACATACGATGCAAAAATTTCCTTCTCATTTCTCAACTATCTTCCTCTTGCCAAAACCAGACATGTGCTTCTACATTCCATCCACGTTATAGAGAGTTTGGGGGCAGAGATTGTATATAAACTGGTTTTTAGCAGTTCTCTGTGATTTTGGCTTTTTGACTACTAACAATCATTGTGTTGGCAAACAATACACTTGGCTAAATAGTTACAATATCAATTCTTTTAAGTTTTAAAATTCACTAGTTATTGTTTTTACCAAAATGATCAAAGACAGTCAATCAGTCATGATTAAAAGGATTACTTTACAATTCATACACCTACTGGTTCTAATACTGAATGCAAATTACCATGTTATATTACTGAATAACTGCCAAATAAGAAAGATAACAGAATGTGTTTCCGATTTAATGAATACCATGGAACACAGTTGCTCCTGAAGACACTGAAATCATGGCTTGACCCTGAGTGCACCTGTGGCTCGAAGGCATCTGAGTCTACTCAATCAAGGATGTTGAATGCCTAGCTTTATCCTCTAACTTGTTGCTTAATGGTAACTGTCACTAAGTAGTGATTTTCTCATACTTCCTGCATCTTAATTAAAAAAGTATTATGCCAATAAAACTCACAATGACCTGTGAGGAGTTCACGACAAGCACGACAGATACCTCAGAAATGTCTTTACTCCGGTTTGCCGCGTGCTACTCGCATCAGCATTTCCAGCACCATGCGGGTGGAAGAGGCTCAGGCCAGCGCTAGAGGAGCTGCTATTCAAATCTGCAGACTGCTGGAAGACCTCTATGGTGGCCTTTGCAATATTGTCCAATAAGTTGTTCATTTCAGCCACAGAACCGGAGCCCTAGAGCGAGACATAAGAAAGGTAGAGCCCACCAGGCTCTCCTTTCTCCCGAGACTCACCCGTGTGCGCCCTGCAACGCATACTCACAGGGTCCTTCACGCACTGCTTGATCATTAGTTGCAGTTCCAGCCAGGACTGTCTCAGTGTCCACTGCTCAAGATTCTGGGGAAGACGCAGAGATTTCCATTCGATAGTAAGAACATTAAACCAGTGTTAACATGTGAGTTCTCACAGCACTCATTTTTTTCAAGAAGAAGCAGGGTAAGATGCACAAAAAGAGTTTACAAGGATCAAAGACTTACAATCAATTACCTATGTTCACTATACACAAAGAAACAAATAGCAACATCCAAATGATGTCACCATCTTGGCTAGAAACTATGAGACATTTCATCTTTCAAAACCTAACAACTTCATTCCTAAGTAATTCTAATGCTTCTTAATATGTCTAAGACTGCTCCTCCATAAGACTCCTTCCTCTGAGGTAAATGTAGTACAGATGTAAAATATCACTATTTGTGACAGCAATAAACTGAGGCAAATCCCCAGAAAAGGAATCTGAACAAAATCAGAATCTGACTCAAGAATCAGAAACGGCAAAGTGAGGGCGCGTGACTTGTGACCCTCACAAACAGTGTATCAAGTGACAGAAACACAAGGCTGGAAAGCGGCTCCTACCTGGAGAATGCGTTTGATGTGTTGTCTTTGCAGGCTGTCTCCCTCGGCACACTCTTTAATGCCATGCGGGTAGCAAATGAGCTGCAATAATCTCTGTGCTTGCACATTTGAAAGCACAGGGTCCAGTATAAGCTCTTTGTCTGTGCATAATCTTTCAGGTTCTTTTAAGCAATGTTCTCCTACCCATTCCTAAAAATGATACAGCAGTTAGATTGACAGGTACCAACTTACCACAAACTTATGTATTATGCTCTAAATTCTCAGAGCGAAATGGCATGAAAATCTGGTAAGACTCTACAAACAAAAAAACACATGAAAGAGAAAGGAAAAAGTTTTAAAAAGAAAAATTCTAGCATGTTGGCTTATCAAAAACACAAGGTGGAACTCTGACTAAAGAGAACAGCTTAAAAATATATGCAAAAAAAATACTGGTATATATTTTCAAATGGAAAATGAGTCCTTTTTTAGGGCACTATTTATGCATTTATTTATTATTTTATTTCAGAACTGGGTTTTAAACTCAGGGTACTTTCCTTTCTAGGTAGGTTCTCTAACACTCTAACATGCCTTCTAAATTATATTTTAATTGGATTTTAACACTTGCTCTGTAATGATATTTCTATAGTGTATGCTCTTCATCACATTAACAGAATACATTAAACCGTATTCTGCTGAATAGGCAGAACATACAGATATTTAGAAAATACTGGACTTTATGAAACTGTTACCAACACAAATAGCAGTGCATAACTACTTTCTATACAATTGTTTTATAGTAATTTCAAAGAAATCTAACTGCTGGGTAGAGGTTGTACCAAAATCTTGAGCTATAAATGCTGTGCTCTGGAGAGTCCCTGGTAATTTAAATTCTTAGCTCCCTTTCTTCGTTACAAATTAGGACAAGAAATGAAAGTAACTGAACTGGACTCTGGGCCAGATCGCTTTTATATGAACCTTGTTTTTCTACTGTAGTACCAGTAGTTTAATACTGACTGTCCATTAAAATTGCCTGACATCAGACCCCTTATATCAAACTCAAAAGGAGGCAATAAGAGCCTGTGGACTGCCAACGAAGCATCCACCGCTTTATTCATACACAGGCATGCCGTGTGTGTGCATATAGGCCTGTGAGCATATGTCTGTGTGTGCATGCCTGATGCTGGCGCCTGGACTTGCACGTCAGCCCGGGTGTTCCCACCCCACAGGGCGCAGACCAGATCCTCCTAGACCAGCTGTCGGGCGCCACAGAGGGCCAGGCCTTCCTACCGCTGGCCTTGTTGCAGTTCTAGGCATCAAATGCACGGTGGATGTCCCGGGGACCCACTGGGCACTCACTGCTGGAAACAACACACAACTGTCTCTCGCTACCGACTCAGCTACGAGGCAACTTCCACCACAGCTACAGTAAAACACAAAAACACGACTCTGACAACCGTATCTCTACAACAAATTACAAGCTGTATGAGGTATACAACTTTTTAAGTATCAGTTTTTAAAATAGAAAAAGCCAGAAAAACAATGAATTGTCACCTGAAGCCGAGAAAGGCACAGGACAGAAGGGCTATTGAAGGGGGGCACATCTCTGAGCACACTTTATGTGTAGTTTGACTTTTGGATGCATGGTATGCTATGTAGACCCAGGGAATTAAAAAACTGAAACAAAATGCACACAATAAACCAGATTCTATTTCAAATTAAGAACAAATTCTATAAGGGAGGAAAAAACAATCTAGTTTTCTTTCTTTTCTGCATTTTTCTGCTGTTTTTCCAGATGGCATTTGTTTGCTTCCTTTTTCTGGGTTGGGGGGTGGGGCAGAGTAACTTCTAGATGCAGTATTGTAAGCCTAAGGAAATAGGAACTTCAGCTCTCCTTAGGAGGTTTGTATTTCCTGGTGGTGTAGCAACCTTTAAAGTACTTCAGGTAGACTGCAAAATTAAGCAAAAGAGAGAACGGCTGATGTTATGGGAAACATAACTCTCCTGCACATCACCCATAATGTCACCTATGTACACAGGCAACACTAACTGCAATGTGAGGGAAGTAAAACACAACCCTGTGGGTTGGGATTGGAACTAGAGGTGTCATATGATTTGTGATTACATACATACACACACGTGATTTTCCTGGCTATCTGCTGAGAGCAATGAAGCCATGCTACTCTATTAAAAACAAAAAGCACAGGACCCAGATCTTACTAAGTGCCACCGTATACCAAACAGAACTCGTGTTCCAGGGGGAATGGGAAATAGCTCTGTGCAAATGCTTTTAAAAAATTTTAAAAAATATGAAAATAGCCGGCGCCGTGGCTCATGCCTGCCATCCCAGCTGCTCAGGAGGTTGAGATCTAAGGATTGTGGTTCAAAGCCAGCCCGGGCAGGAAAGCCTGTGAGACTCATATCTCCAATAAACCACTGGAAAACTGGAAGTGGCACTGTGGCTCAAGTGGTAGAGCACTTGCCTTGAGCTGAAGAGCTCAGAGTTTGAGACCCACGACCAAAAAAAAAAAAAAAATATATATATATATAATATATATTTATATATATGAAAATAGGAGAAATGACACAAAAGATCGGATACAGGATTCCCATTAAGTAAACCTAGAATGATTTGAACATTAAATAAGTACTCCATAAGGTTGTGCATAGAAGGGTGGAGGTTTTCCCTAAGTAGAGGATTAGGGGGACTGGAAGGAGGGGAACCGTGCCATCTGACGATCGCCGTGGTGAAGACTGGTTAGGAGAGGAATGAAATGCATCTGAGGGTGGGGGAGTGTGAAGGGGAACAGAATGTGAACGACCTCTTACAATGACAAGTGGAAAGAGTCAGAAACGATGGAGAAGTACTGAACGGTGCAAGAGACACTGTGATCCAGTCAGCATCACCAATGAACGCTGGGCCACGCAGAGCACATCACACCTGCAGACTGAAACTAAACTGCAGGCAGCACAGACAAACCCTACTGCACCAGGTAACCAGCCACACCAAATGCTGCCTATAGTTGAGAAAAAATGTTAAATTCACACTAAATTTTCTAATTTTCACTAATTCTGGAAGAAATGAAGACTGAAGTATTCAAAATTAAAGAAGAATAAAGTACCCATTGACTTTCAAAAGGTTCAAAACCTCTACACAGAAATACATATACACACATACACACGTATACTCATGTTCATACACATGAATCATAAAACAAAGTGGCAAAATACAAAAACATCAATGAACTTATATAAAGGATAATATAGAGGAGTTCATATTCTTGCAACTTTTTTGCAAATTAGGAATTACTACTAAATACAGTTAACAACAGGACAAAAAGGACTGTCTATGTACAGGTTTCTTTTTTTTTTTTTTTTTGTCGGTTGTGGGGCTTGAACGCTGGGCCTGGGCGCTGTCCCTCAGCTCATGGCGAGCGCTCTACCACTTGAGCTACAGTGCCACTTCCCCTGTACAGGTTTCTGAAACTATTAAGCGGTTGTCTCCAAAACAAGCTACACATTATTTTTTTTTAAGCCACCCTAAACTGAAAAAATACCTGTTGGCAGATAGTCCTCAGCACATATCGCGCATACTCCCTTAAATTGGCAGTTTCAATGGAAACCCCTTTCCCACAGGACTTCGAGTTCTGTGAGCTAGCCCAGATATCTTCTGCATTCCCATCACGCCGCAAGCCCCTCACAGTGAACTCATCATTCTTCAAAGAGCTGACAGTGCTACTACCGATTTTGGCATCTCCTAAATAACAGAACCACAAGAGCAAAATCACAATTTTAGGAGGCAAGGAGGTTAACTTTCAGGACTTAAAACATATGAAGGTTTTATTATTGAATAGCCACTCAACAACAGAAAGAACGGACCAAGAGAACTAATAAGAGAACCCACATGGAATAAAAGCAAGTTCAAGACTCATCCCTTCTTCTATTTACAGAACTAAATATATTTCCACCAGATTTGGAAGGGTGATCCATTAGCAGTCACACCTAGTCATCATGGAACCCGATTTCACCAAAATTTCAAGCCTCAAAGCACTCAAGTTCATCCGACTCATAGACAGGCGTCCTTTTCCATTTCTTCTATCCCGGTGGCTTACTGTCTGCCCACTGGTCGGGGATGGAGGAGGGCAACGTAAACCAGGGAAGCTCTGAGAAGCTTCACCGACTGGCCAACCCACATTCGTCATCTCCCTCATTCTCATACCCAGCTTGGAAAAATGTCTGCTCAGCTAAGATTTAGGGCAAATCCTTTTTAGAAAGTGATTTTCCCTCGTATCAAAGTTCAGGCGAGGTGGGAGGAGGAATATCTGACCAGTGGAAAATAAGGAATCTCTGTTTCTCCATGGTGAGAGTAATAGAATTTGGTAGTAAACACTGTCAAACAACAGCAGAACCTTCAAACTTTTTGTGTGCTTACCAACAGTAGCAAACCAGACCGTAACAAGGAAATTTCCTGGTACCAACAAATGAGTTGAAGCAAAGTCTTCACTGCCTGCAGTAAATGAGCCCCGGACAGTGTAAAAGGGCTTTCTAAAGCCATCAGACCAACCAAGAAAATACTCTGACTTGGCTGAAAAAGGCGGGGGGAGATCCAGTCGTGGGGCCTGAACTCTGGGCCTGGGCGCTGTCCCTCAGCTCTTCAGCTCAAGGCTAGCGCTCTACCACTTTGAGCCACAGCGCCACTTCCAGCTTTTTTCTTTTTGCAGCAGTTCTAATGGTCTATTTCACGTCAGAATGAGACAGTGTAATTATAGCAAAATGAAAGATACCTCTATATAAATTGCTGCAGGATCGATAGGGACAAAAGACAGAATTCTCAGAGTTCTGATGGTTCTTGGACTCGGAAGCCAACTAATTCCTCCCAGGACAAACAGAACACATGGTTTCAAATACAGTTTCATTACACCTGAAACTAAATACCAGTTATTTTGCTTCAATTTCTGGTGACAGTCTTACCCAGCATCATAATTGCTTTTAAGACAGCAAAAACGGCTCCCACTTCAATGCTGTTGTGAGCAGCGGCTAGCAGGTGTCTATCACAGGAGGATCTTATTCCAGGGAAAGGTTTGCCTAGAAAAACAACAACAAACCTGTGACTGCCTCCTGAGCACAGAGCAGCCATCTGCAGTCATTGTAGCCCGCAGGGCCTCACGGCTAGGTGGTGGTCAGTACTGCCCTCGGCCTGCTCTGGGTGATGCTCCTGGGATTCACCAAGAGACGCTGCCAGTATTCTTGTTTTCTTTGTTTTAACTATTCAAAGTGTTTTGGCTCCTCAGCGAGACATGCCAAATATATCAGTAGAACTCCCAGGAACACATTATGTGTCATATGGATCTTTAGGGTTAGACGTCACTGAAAGCTCTAAGATTTGTTCTTACTACTTGTGCTATAGGAAGAGCATATATGAAATCGCTGCCCTGGGTGGGCTGATGTGGTTCAGAGCCAACACACAGAGGATCAGGCTGCCCACCAGTGTGGCATGACCTCAGAGCAGAAGTATTCCACACGTTTATTAATTACTTATTTCCCAATAAACCTTGATGTTACATAAATGAAGTCCTGTCAGCCTGCCCACTGCAATTATTTCACTCCTTCATCACTCTCAGATCAAGCCACGAAAGTCAGGAAGGAAATTACTAAGCAGCTCGTGAGGTCACAGAACTTCAGCTCCCCAGGAACACGTACCCACGTTTCCAGCCATCGTCTTACCGGTCGCCTGCGGTGACAGGCAGGCCTGAGGAGCTCGGAAGAGGTGAAGCAGGAGTCTGCACGTCATCCTGGCCCCCGGCTCCGCGTCGGCGTCTCCGCAAGCTAGGGGGCATGAAAAGCAAGCCTGCTGACTCACACAGAACAGCTCCATCGGGCTGTCCACTAGGCTGAGTCTGCTGACTCCATGCTTCTGAGAAACCCGAGTGCAGTCCATTAGAAATGGGCGCATGGTTGCTTCCCATCCCCGAGGGGTCGGCCTGGGTAACTCTGCCCCTGAGCCCGGCGCCCCACCCGGCAGGGCCGTCGGGCCGCGCCCACTCACCTGCCGCCAGGAGCGAGGGCAGAGCAACGTGCTGCACGACGTCCTCCAGGGAGAAACACTGTCGTGCTATCAGAATAGCAATGAAAGTAGCTAATGAATCATGGAATGAAAGGTCACTCACCTTCAAGAAAAACATTGACAGGTTTTAATACCTAACACCCCTCAGCAGGAGCAAGATCAGTATCTAAGAGAAAGTAGGAAATTCCCACACCACCTCAAATCCCAACAGGCCCACAGAGGGAAACAACTATCTGCACCCCATACCGTAAGGAGACACTGACCTAAACATGTGTTCAATGGAACTGGAAAGCGTGATAATAATTTTTGGCAAAATGCAATCTAATACACCGTTGAAAGGAAAGAGCATCAGGAAGCAAAGAAAAAGAGAAGGCCCCTCTTGCAGGAAGACAAGCCACAGTAATATTCTAGAGTTCCTTTCTGTGGCAACTAATGTGTTCTTTTTTGATGTTTTTTTTTTTTTTTTTTGGTCAGTTGTGGGGCTTGAACTCTGGGCCTGGGCGCTGTCCCTCAGCTCTTCAGCTCAAGACTAGTGCTCTACCACTTGAGCCACAGTGCCACTTCCA